TATCATTGTTTAACTTGTTCTTCTTCTAATTTAATACACAGTAAATAACTATACAATTTTTTTATCACCCTCTTCTGTTCCTGTTAATATCTTATCCAATTCTGACAGTTCCATATAAAACCATATAATTTAGCATCTTTTTCATATCTAGATTGTATTTGCAGTTGTGTATACCAAACCATATCAATCCCCTGCTTTTCCAGTTCTTGTTTCATTTTAAGTTCCCCTTTTATGACAAAATATCTTTGTATCTAACAATATTCCCCGTATTGATAATATTTGGATGTATTAGTACTTTCATTGTCGAAAGCCAAACTGGTATCTTCAAGTAATGTTGTTCTCTGATTTTCTCCCATACTAATAATAAAGCACTTCTTATAATGAAGGGCCTGGTGTGAATCATCTTCACAAATTCAATGTAGAGAAAAGTAAAGTCTTACACAGGTAAGAAAAACTAAAAGCAACATATAAACTGGGGGAACCAGGCTTAATAGCAGTGACTGGGAAAGGGATCTTGGGAGTCCTAGTGGACAATCACTTTAACATGAGCCAGCCGTGTGCAGCAGCAGCCAAAAAAGCCAATGCAATCCTACATTGCATTAACGGAGGGATACAATCAAGATCAAGTGAGGTCCTAATACCACTCTAGAAAGCCTTAGGAAGACCACACCTAGAATCCTGCATCCAGTGTTGGTCACCCACACTATAAAAAAGAGGTTGAGACTCTAGAAAGCGTGCAGAGAAGAGCAACCAGGATGATGAGGGGACTAAAACATACAATGAACGGTTGCAGGAACTGGGCATAGCTAGTCTAGTGAAGAGAAGGACCAGGGGAGACAGGATAGCAGTCTTCCAATACTTGAGGGGCTGCACAGAGAGGAAGGGGGTCAAGCTATTCTCCAAGGCACCTGAAGTCCAGGCAAGGAATAATGGATGGAAGCTGACCAAGGAGAGATTCAACCTGGAAATAGGGAGAAATTTCCTGACAGTGAGAACCATCAACCCATGGGACAGAAGTTGCCTTCGGAAGTTGTGGGAGCTTCATCCCTGGAGGCTTTTAAGAAGAGACTGGACACCCATTTGTCAGAAATGGTGTAAGGTCTCCTGCTTGGGGCGGTGGGTTGGACTAGATGACCTCCAAGGTCCCTTCCAACTGTTAAAATACAACTTAAACTCTGTTAAGGTCCATTTGTGCAAGGTGGGTGGCTGCTGCCCCCTAGTGGGCTTTGGAAACAACTGGGAGTAGAGCAGCAGGGAAAATTTGCAGCGGAAAGGCGGAATTTTTAGCTACAGGCAGTCCAGGACTTACGACTGGTCGCTTAGCGACCATTCAGAGGTATAGCAGTCCTCCAAGATGGGACTTATGACCCAGTTTCCAAAGTCCGCCTTCCACCTCCCCAGGCACAACTGCATCTTGAGCCTCGGCTAGCCTGTATTTATTATGGCCATTTGTAGCACCCCGAGTCAGGTGGATGTGCTGATGTCCTTACTGCAAACCAGGGTTTACTTCCGTTTCTGAAGAAAACCAACTCATGGCAAAACAATGGATTTGCTTCACGACTGTGGCATGAAAGGGCATAACAGCTTTGTTAGGAAATGATTTTACCTAACTCCATGATGGCGAACCTATGGCACGTGTAGCCATATCAATGGGTACGGCAGCTCAGCTCGGGGGGGGCATGCGCACGCCGGCCAGCTGATTTTCGGGCCTTCTGGGCCACCAGAAGTAGGGAAACAGGCTGCTTCCTGCCTCTGGAGGGCCTGGGGGGGCGGGAAGGCCCGTTTTTTCTTTCTTACCTGGCTCCAGATCCTCTCTGTGTATCTGGGAAGGGCGAAAACAGCCTTTCCCACTCCCTTGGACGCCCTACGGAGGCTGAAAGGGCCCATTTCCCAACTCCCGGTGGGACAGGAAGTGACGTTTTTTCTTGTCCAGCCTCCAGAGACTCCTAGAGAGGCTCCTAGAGACTCCTAGAGAGCTCCTAGAGACGTTCTGGAGGCTGGGGACAGCAAAAAATGTCACTTCCTGTCCCACCGAGAGTTGGGAAATGGGCCCTTTCAGCCTCCGTAGGGCCTCCAGGGAGTGGGAAAGGCTGTTTTCGCCCTTCCCAGATACACAGAGAGGATCTGGAACCAGGTAAGAAAGAAAAATGGGCCTACCAGGCCATCATGTGCCAGGAGCGGGGGGGGAGGGGGGAGGGGGTTGCACACGCATGCGCATGGGCACCTGCGTGCACGACCCTCCCCCCCTCTCCTGGCACACGATGGCAAAAAGGTTAGCCATCACTGACCTAACTTCTTGGGTTGGCAATATATAAACCATCATTATAGCTTTAGGACTGCTGTATTGCATCATACTATGTCCTGATTGGTTAGCTCTGTAGCCAATGTCCTTAAGAGGGAGCTAGAAACATGGTTTGTTTCTCTTTGCTGTTCTTGCTCTCTGATATCTCTGTATGCTAGTTTGCAAATCCAGAACAACTGTTAATGTGAATGACGACGACTGGTAAGACGACTTTGATATTGGATTATCCCTGGACTGTTGTTTAACCATCTACTGCTTTATATGTGAATGACCTGGTCTGTTATTTGGACTGTGCCTTATTATATTTCCTGAAAGTAAACACAACTCAGTGTATCTCTGAGTTGGCTGTGTTATTTCCTAACTACTCTCAATCGCTTTTCATGTGCACAACCTTGCTACTCAAGGGTTGCTCTGCGAATTCCTCAACAAACTTTTCTCCCAGGTTACACTGGAGGCAACTAAACGAGCAGGATAGCAACTTTTATTCTTGAAAAGCTCAGAAACCCCGTTAAACAATTCCAGCAACTGCTGTATGAACAAGCTTTGTTTTTAACTATCTCCATCCCGTTTGCTCTCACATTTCCCCCCCCCCAAACAACTGTGCCCAAATGGCCAACCGGTTCTCTTTAGGGCAGGGGACGGTTTCCACCCATGTCTTGTTCCAGCTGTCTCTTTTTGAGGATGTAAGAATTAACTTCCACGTAAAGGCCGGCCAAAGGTCTTCACGTTGGTGGGGTCCTCGGTGCCCTCTTACCATTTCGCGGGTGGTGAACATGCAACACATCTGTCTCAGAACTGGGGGGAAACATTCTTCCTGGAATCGGATTGGCGCCAAACCTCCTGGGTTTTAAGAAAGGGAGTCAAAAAGTGGAAATGGCATTTCGGGAAATCGATAAGGACTCAACACAGGGCAGTCCTTGACTTGCAGCCATTCGTTTAGCGGCCGAAGTCACAGCGGCATGAAAAAGGACTCACGATTGTTTCTCACACTTACGAGGGTCACGTGATCCAAATTCAGTTATCATTCTGACTCACATTTATGACAATTGCAGAGCCCTGGAGTCCTGCGATCCCCTTTCGAACAAGCCAAGTCAATGGGGAAAGCCGGATTCACTTAACAATTGTGTGGCTAACTTAACAACTGCAGTAATTCACTTAATTGTGTCGAGAAGTCATAAAACGGGGCAAAACCCCTCTTGACAGCTGTCTCTGCTAGGCAACAGCAACTTTGGGCCCAATTGTGGTCGTTAAGTCGAGGACTTCCTGTAGCCTGAGTCTCCCCAGGCAGAATTCCCTCAAACAGAAAAGGCTTCCTCCTGCAACTCTACTAGTTACACTGATTTACGATTGGCCGTTTCTTGGTGTAGCATGATGGGAAAAGTGCATTTCCTTCTGTTGGGTTGTTTCAATGCCTTCACTGTAAACTGGGGGTGTAAGCCCCCCTTCAGAGGGTCACCCATGAAGCAGCCCACCAAGTCTCTGCTGCCGAGAGTTCGAAGACGGACGTAACCTTTGCTTCTGCAGGAGTCCAAATGATGGAAATTATATCGATACGGCGAGTCCTTCACCAACGACAACTGATTTCTCTTGCTAAGCGGGACAGTTGTTAAGTGAGTCTTGCCCCACTTGATCACCTTTCTTGCCAACATTGTTAAGTGAATCGTTGCAGCTCTTAAACTAGCAACACGGTTGTTCAGTGAATCCAGCTTCCCCCTTGACTTTGCTTGCCAGGAGGTTGCAAAAGGAGATCACGTGAGCCTCAGGACACTGGGAACGTCATAAATAGGGAGTCGATTCTCAAGTGCTTGAATTTTGATCATATGACTATGGGGGGGGGGATGCTGCAACGGCCATGTGAAAAGCAGCCATAAGTCCCTATTTTTAATGTTGTCACTTCGAATGGTCAGTAAAACAACTGTTTACATTTGACCCTGATTACATATGCACAAGTAGTTGTGCATATGTAATCAGGGTCAAATGTGCCTGAATCTCCAGTCTGGCCAACCCTGCAGGGAATTCACACAGAACCAATGTGTAAAAGGGTGTTATGGCCCGTACGCAGCCTGTGCAGTTAGTAGCTGATTCTGACAGCAAGGAGGCTGGTGTGGTGCTGCGCCAGCAGCCTGTGCAGCTGGCGCTCGAGTCAGACAATGAGGAGGCTGGAGAAGATGTGGTGCCAGAGGCAGGGATTCAGCCAGGGCCTTCAGAAGCTCCCTTAAGTGAAGAGGACGAAGAGGAGGAGCCTCCTCTCGATGCACGGGCGCGCAGAGCTGCCAAAAGGCAGAAGTGGCTCCTCAGGAGGAGGTCTCCTCAAGAGTAAGGCTTGGGGCTAATTGGCCACTCCCTTAACCTATTTAAGGAGGAACGCCGACTGAAGCAATTTGCAGGGAACAACTTAGTTCACATACCTTCGTGTCTTGCTTATCTTATCAGCTTCTTGCAAATTGCTTCTGGGCATTCTGCCAACCACAGTAAGCTTTCAGTTATTATTCTTTGAATTCTTGTAGGCTGTTAAGAAAGTTAATTAACAGCCGTTGTTATAAAAGACTGGTTTATTTAGTAAACTAAGGTTTGAGCGGATTTTGGGTGTGCTGCGTTCTTTGGGATCCGTAGCTGGGGCAGAACAAAGGGTGTCGTTCGTAAAGGCCTATTTTTGCAACCATGCCCAGCGACAAAGAAAAAGAGACACACAAAGCGCCAGGTTTAATCACAGTCCATTGTATTGGTTGTTGTTTTTTTTAGTCAAAGTATAACAATCACACACCCACACGGATTCTCAAACACTTGTTCGTGAACATCAGACATGAGACGTTTGCAGTAACTGAGAAACAGAAACCGGAGACATGCTTATATATTTGACCGAGGGTTCCAACGGACTGCAAATTCCGGCCTGTCTGTGCCAGCTAGCTGCCAGCCTCACTGAAGGACGGCTTCAGAGAGAGTGGCCGGCGGAAGGAGAGGCGCGGAGGGAGACCTCGGTGCCGGGCAAACTTTCTGCAATGCGTCACTGCCTTTGATCTGACCTGAACAAAGGACGGCTTGAGCTCAGTGTGGGAGGAAAGGGGGGGAAAAATGTGCGCTTAAGACTGTAATATTCAACTCCCAGGGGGGGGAAAAAAAAGCAGAAATTTGTAAATTTGCCAAGGATGCCCCTATTTTTTTGGGGGGGGGGGGGGAAGGGAAGGGTTTGGGCTCTCTCATGGGTAGAGGAAACTTTCCAGCCAATGCAACTTGCCGTCAAATCTGGCTACTGGACCATACCAGCCCTCCACGCAGCAGCCATGGGGGTCAGTTGAACAGTACTTCAACAGGTTTCCCATGGCTGTTGCAAGGAAGGATCAGAGACCCTCAAAGACCCTCTCCCCAACTACACTGGGGATGGCCAGGACAAACCATTATTGCCATCTACTGGCACTTTCTGCATATCAACTTCCGCCCACCTTTCAGGAGGGGGAAAAAAAAAGGACAAAGCCAAATGATGAAAAGAGGTGGGGGAAAAGGATTTCAACACCACACAAGAAGGGATGAGCCTCTCTTTCCATCTAGGCAAAACTAAGCTGAGGAGAAAGGAAGGATCCAGACTGGAGCCAGTCTGGGCCAGAATTGAGCCAAGTTTTGACAATCTAGCAATCTCAAGAGCGTTCTGAGGGAGATGGAGGACTCTTTCAGAAGACTGAAGCATTCAGGATGAGGATCTCTCTCTCGGGCGTTCTGGAACCAGGGACAGTCCAGAACTGACCACCAATACCATAAACCTAATTTCCATGCTACAGAAACAGGATCTTCTGGTTAATAATACTGGGTACGAAGAAAAGGAACTTCATTGTTAAGTAACGACACCCCTTTTTTTGATGGTTGCAATTTTGGGATATTTTGAGAGAAGGAAGAAGAGGTGCCTTGGTTTGTTTTAGAACAGGGGTCCCCAAACTTGGCAACTTTAAGACTTGTGGACTTGAACTCCCAGAATTCTCCAGCCAGCTGGCTGGAGAATTCTGGGAGTTGAAGTCCACAAGTCTTAAAGCTGCCAAGTTTGGGGACCTCTGTTCTAGAGAATCAACAATCCTGGGTTTGGTCCCACTGCTTGAATTTCAGGTCAAAAACCTGAACATTGAGGGTTTGCCCATTTCTGCAACTCTAGACGGTCCATTTTTGAGTCAAGCAGATTCAGCCACCCTGGATCCCCGGCCCCATTCTTCCAGAGGTCACTTAACCTCCATGACCGCCTGGTTCTCAGCCAGATAACATCAACAACAGGAGGTATATATCTATCTATCTATATATATAAATACACACACACATACACACGTGCATAGCTCAAGAGAATAAGGCGCATGGTTCGGGTGACAGATGGCGGTTCTGCATTATTACAGGACCAAACTGGATGAGATCTTGAGAATGTTTACAATCCATTTTTTTTTTTTTTGAGAAAAGAAGGGCTGCAAAAGACATTTTGGTTATTGGTGCTCCAGGCATTAAGACATACAGGAAGAACCAGTCACGAAAGGCAGCTAAAATGCTAACTGTCCTACTACACAGCAGCTACTGCTTAATTATAATAGCATCTCTTCAAAACCACAAGCTCCGTTTTGTATGAGGTGGTTCACTGGGCCATGGACGGAGAAGAGGGGGGATAGAAACGTGCAAATTCCACAAGGGAGCTAACCGGCCCAGCCTACTACCTGGAAGAGGCTAGATTTAGCTCCAAATGCGTCTAGTCTGAAATGGATGATAATCGTGTGGATAATAATCACCAAGCCATTGAGAGTTGTTTTTTTTCTATCTCTAGGATGGGAGGAGGAGAATATGATAGGAACGGGAAAATACCTCTCCCCTCCCAGTCTCCTTTGAAATGATTTGGAAGACCTAAAACAGACGAGGAAATTAGCTGAAATTGGGTGCTGCAAGCGGGTAAGGAAGGATGAATTGATTGCCCATAAAGGACAATCAGCTGGCTGATTTGTGGTGAGAGGAAAAAGGTTCACGAAAGACCTAAGGAAAACACAACTGGAATTCCAAACTATTTTTCCAGGTGAGAAGCAAGATAAGAGTCGTGGAAGATCCACACACAGAGATCCCAAGGGGAACAACGCGAGTCTGCCGGAAAGAACTTTCCAGAAGCCCAGTCAAAACACCAGTCTGCATGGGTGTTCTCCAACCTGTGAACGCAGATATTGCTCAACCAAATTACCCGTTTTCCATCTGAGAAATTGAAATGAGGAAGGAAGGAAGGAAAAGGAAATGCCCGGAAGTATTTGTCTGCCTTAAACGGTAGTGCAAATGTATACTCTCAAGGGCTCAATCCAAAAAGTTCTGCTGTCGTTTCTCAGCTGCCTATTGAATTTGTGGGGATCAAGAGGCCCGTTTGGAACAAAGCAGAGAAGGACCAAGGGAGCTTGGTGACAATGTTGTAGGAGGTATCTCTACTCAAAGCATGCAAGGAGGATGCAACGTCTCTTTCCAAAGGCGCCTGGCAAATGCCACCATGACAAGATACATGCCACCATGCAAATGGCATTATTTGGGTCAATTGTACACCGATGCCACTGCACGTGGGCACCACTCCTTCCATAAAGCACACGGGACTTTCTTTTTTTTCTTTCTCTGCGTGGCTCCCAAATACTCTGAATATCCGGTCTCCACGAGAGACTGAATCTTCACCTTGTGAGCAGCATGGATACCTATTTACAGCTGGACATTCAGGTATCCATGGATGGGCAACTGAGAAGGACGTGGACCCACCTCTGCTTCCTGACACATGTGCGATGCACCCAACCGTACAAGGCCGGGAGCCGCTCCAGGTTTGCTAGCACACGAGATGGGAGGGGGGGGAGGGGGTGCCCCTTTCATGGGCTTGAGGGGGGGGGGGCAGACTCACTGACTCGTGCTGCTGAAGTACGTGTTAGCCTCCAAGACCAGGGCCTTGGCATAAACCCGGAGGGTGTAGAAGAGGGTGAGGAAGTCCTGAGTGCTGAAGATCGTGTCAGCGAGGGCAAAGGTCAGGGTGGAGGGGATGAAGCCTCGGCCATACTCGACCATCCACGTGCCGGCGCTCCACTGCACGGAGGTGACCTCTCCGGAACTGTGGACAATGGTGTCTCCTGCAGGAGGCAAACAGGCAGCAGTTGGAATCTCAACATGGGGTTCCCGTTCTCATGCCAGCCTCCAGGTGAGGAATCTGCAACTCACCTGGGTAATAAATCTCACTTTTAGTCGTTCCCTCTTTCCATTGCCGGAAGGTCCCTGAGATGACCGTGTCGTAAATGTCAGCCCAATAGCGACCTGCCGTGGGGAGAAAGAACATCCAGACGCTAGTCCCAGGTACAGGCAAAGTGGCCAAGGAGAGTTTCTAACAGCTTCCGCCTTTTTTCTTGCAGTCATCGACCACCCGTTTAACACTGCATAAGCCAGTGTTTTTCAATCTTGTGAACTTTAAGATGCAAAGGCCAATCCATCTTAAAAGTTACCAAGGTTGAAAAACACTGCAATAGAAATGACAAGAGCAACCTGACAAAGTAGACCACAATCTACTAAAAAAATGTGGGTCAGACAGCATCGCCACCAGATGGATTCGTAACTGGCTGACCAACCGCACTCAACGCGTAGTCCTCAATGGAACTGCATCTACACGGAGGGAAGTATGCAATGGGGAATCCCAGGGCTCTGTTTTAGGCCCAGGGTTCTTCAACATCTTCATCAATGGCTTGGACGAGGGGATAGATGGGGAACTCATCAAATTTGCAGATGACACCAAGCTGGCAGGAATAGCCAACACTCCAGAAGATAGGCTCAAGATACAGAAGGATCTCGACAGACTTGAACATCGGGCGCTATCTAACAAAATGAAATTCAACGGAGAAAAAAAGCAAGGTTCTACATTTAGGCAAGAAAAACAAAATGCCCAGGTACAGTATATGTGGTCCCTTGCTCAATAGCAGTAACTGTGAGAGGGATGGTGGCGTCCTAGTGGACAACCATTTAGATATGAGCCAGCCGTGTGCAGCAGCTGCCAAAAAAGCCAAACCGGTCTAGATGCAAGAATTATAAATGAGCATTGGAAGCATACATGGGGTGCAACCCAAGGGAGCTTACTTTGCAGAAAGGGAAACTGCATTTTGCAGTTGGCTGATGGTCTTGCTCTACTGAGCAGGCTAGCTTCCAAGTTCTAGCTGTTCCTCTTTAATTTTATAGAGAGGCCGATCAGTTCAAAAACGACATAGTGTCAACGACACAGCTTAAATGTTTTAAAGGCACTGATGGGCAAAGAGGCTTTGTCCTAGGAAGTTCGTTAAGCTAGGATGACTTTCTGGTTTAGCACCAGAGAGCTTGACTTTGAACACAGGGATACATTTCTGTATCCTGTCTAGTAGGCCAGTTTGGTCTAGTTGTAAAGGCACCAGACTAGGAGATCGGGAGTTCAAATCCTGCCTCAGGCATGAAAGCCAGTTGGATGACCTTGGGCCAGTCATTCTCATAGCTCAGTCCACCTCAGAGTTGTTGTGGGAAAAATAGGAAGAATTAAGATTAAGATATGTTCACCGTTTTGTAAAAATAGTACCTATTTGCTATCAATCTTAATACACAACTAATGCAAAACAAGGTGGGTGGGACTCATGCTCCTCACAATGTACTTTAGCAACATATATTAATAATATACAATTACAAGTAGTTCTCCACTTACGACCACCGTTGAGTCCAAAACTTCTGTTGCTAAGTGAAACATTTATTAGGTGAATTTGCTTCATTTTACGATGCTTCTTGCCACAGTTGTTAAATGAATCACTACAGCTGTTAAGTTAGTCAAACTGTTGTTAAGCGAATCAGGCTACCCCATGGATTTTGCTTGTCAGAAGGTCGCAAAAGGGGATCACGTGACCCTGGGATGCTGCAACCGTCATAAATATGAGTCAGTTGCCAAGCCTCTGAGTTTTGATCACGTGACCCCGGGGGTGCTTACAATGGTCATAAATGTGAAAACTGGTCATCAGTCTCTTTTTGCGGTGTACCGGAGGTTTCTAAGAAGAGACTGGACATCCACTTGTCTGAAATGGTACAGGTTCTCCTGCTTGAGCAGGGGGCTGGACTAGAAGACCTCCAAGGCCCCTTCCAGATTCTAGTCTGTTCTACTTCGTAACTTTGAACAGTCATTAAGCGAACTGTTGTAAGTGGAGGACTCGGTGTATTATACCGGCAAGAAAAACCCTAAATAACGGATCTTGGGGTTCCGGCTGGCCTGGAGGCGAGGGGGCTCACCTGAGTGGCCTCCGGTGTCGACGGCGGTGCCGAAGAGCAGCACGTACTCCGAGAGGGAGGCGTGCAGGAGGCACATGGAGCCCATCCAGCCGCCGGCGTTGACGAACACCCAGCGCAGGTCCTCGTCCGGCAGCACGTGCCCCGGGTGCTTCCGCCGCAGCTCCACGATGATCTTGGCGAAGGCCAGCTCGTGGTCCAGGCCTGCGAGGAGGGGGGGGGGGAGAGAGAGAAGGAGAGGTGCTTGAGGCGGGACGAGCACCATGGGGACTGGAGTCCACCTGCACCCCCTCCCCAGGGCTATGCAGAGCACCATGGACACTGGAGTTTGCCCCCTCCCCCTCCCCTGGGCCCTGCAGAGCAGCATGGACATTGGAGTCCACCTGCCCCCCCCCACCCAGGGCTCCACTGAGCACCATGGACACTGGAGTCCACCTGCACTCCTTCCTCCGAGCCTCGCTGAGCACCATGGACATTGGAGTCCACCTGCACCCCCTCCCCAGGGCTACGCAGAGCACCATGGGGACTGCAGTCCACCTGTACCCCCTCCTCAGAGCCCCGCTGAGCACCATGGACACTGGAGTTCATCCGCTCCCCCTCCCCAGAGCACTGCAGAGCACCATGGACATTGGAGTCCACCTGCACCCCCTTCCAAGGCTACGCTGCGCACCATGGGGCCTGGAGTCCACCCGCACGCTCTCCTCAGACCCTCGCTGAGCACCATGGACATTGGAGTCCAACTGCATCCCCTCCCCAGGGCTCCGCAGAGCACCATGGGGACTGGAGTCCACCTACACTCCTTCCTCCGAGCCCCGCTGAGCACCATGGACATTGGAGTCCACCTGCTATCCCTGCTCAGGGCCCCGCTCAGCACCATGGTCGCCGGAGTCCACCCCCTCCCCTTCCCCCGCACTGACCGGCGTGGTGCTTGGCCAGGCGCGCGATCTCCTCAGGCTCGAACTCGAAGCGCCGCGAGGAGGCCCATCCGCGCAGCGCCTGGATCAGCAGCGCCGCCGCCGCCACCGCCAGCCCCAACCGCAGGCCCCGACCGGCCCACCCAGAGCCCGGCCCGGGGAGCCACCGCATCCTCCCGCCTCTTCTCTCGCCTCTCCCGCCGAAGCCGCCGCTGAGGGGACGCGAGACAAGGCCAAGGCCGCCCGCGGATGGGCGGGCCAAGGACACGCCGCGCGCGCTGCGGGGTCCTGGCCAATCGCCGCCCTGGCGTCCACCGGCGGAGCCAATGAGCGCGGGCGCCGCCGACGGTCGGCTCCGCCCCCCCGCCACGCGCTGCTTACGTCACGCCGGGCCGCCAATCGCGCGCGAGGTGGTGACCTCGCGCTTCCTCCGTCGACTCCCCCCTCCCTCCCTCAAGGTCACGTGGCGCCGGTCACGTGATCGCGGGAAGGCGGAAGGCATGGAGGCCGCTGCCAAGTTCCAGCCCAGCGGTAACCAACGCCGCCCCTCCCCCCGCCTGCGCGGGGGGGGGCTCTTTCTAAAGCGAGCAGGCGGGGGAGGGGCTTCCCATGAAAGGGGAGCCTGTTGATAGGTGGAGGAGCAGGAGGGGGAGGAGACCGAGGAAGGGGCGTGGTCTCTTGCTAGGGAGCCGCCGCTGCCTTGGATAGGGAAGAGGCGGGCCTTCTTGTCAAAGGGGCGGAGCCTGTCCGGGAGGGGCGGGGCTTTCTGGTGGGGAGGGCGGAGCGAGTGGATCTGGTTCTTCAGAGGATGGGCCCCGTTGCTGACGAGGAGGAGGGGCTATTCTGGAGGGGAGGAGTCTATTGCTGCAGAGGCGGGGCTATCCTGGAGGGGTGGGGCCTTACTGGATGCAGGGCCATCCTGAAGGGGCGGGGCCTGTTGCTTGGGAGGAGGGGCTATCATCGAGGGGCGTGGCCTGTTGCTGGAGAGGAGGGGCTGGCCCATTGGAGTGGGGTCTTCCTGTGGGCAGGGTATTCCTATGCGGATGGGGGGGGTCTTGCTTGGGTGAAGGGGCGGGGCTTGTTTCTGTGGAGGCGTGGCTAGCCCAGAGGGGTGGTGCTTATTGCTGGGGGGGGCTGGACTAGCCCAGAGGTTCTTGGGGGGGGAGGCAGGGCATTCTGGGTGGGTGGGGCCTGTTGCTGGAGAGGAGCATTTTCCCCTTGATCACCTGGTGGGACCCCTTCCAGCCTCACCACCCGCATCTCTTCCCCAGAGCACCAACACCTGCGCTACAACCCTCTGCGGGAGGACTGGGTGCTGGTCTCTGCCCACCGCATGCGGCGCCCCTGGCAAGGGCAGGTGGAGAAGCCCCCCGAGGAGGACCCCCCACGCCACGACCCGGCCAACCCTTTGTGTCCTGGGGCCACGCGGGCGAACGGCAAGGTGGGCAGCCTGGGGAACAGAGGCCGTAGGGTCCAGGTCTCTGCTCCCTCCTCACCCCAACCCTCGATTTTGTGCCCGGAGTTTGCTTTCCCCTTTCTCCTCCTGGGGCTTCCTTCCTTGGAGGACCCAATCCTGGCACCTGAGTAGCCCCCTGAAGGATTTCGGAGCTTGTATTCGATCTGTTAGGTAGATTTTTATCCCGTGTTTATTATTCGATAAATAACTGGAGGTGGTGAACATATCGAATAGAATCGTGGAATTATAAAACTGGCGGAGACCTTGGAGGTCTTCTTGTCCAGCCCCATAGTTCCATAATCTGTCCCACAGCCACCACCCTGTGAGGTGGGTTGGATTGGAAGGGAGGGATTGGTCCAAAGTCACTCAGCAGCCTTTCGTGCCTAAAGCAGAACTAGAACTCATAGCTTCCTGGTGTCAAGTTTCGAGGTCGTCTCAAATAAATTGCATTTCAAACAAAGTCTTTGATGAAAACTTCCATTTATTAAACACGACATTCTAACTCCGACTCCATCATAGCCAACACTGACTTCCTGACCCAAAACCCTCCTATTCCTTTCCCCACTCCTCTGCACTCATTGGCCATCTTCCAAATCACTCTACCCCTAATCTACTGCTCCAGCTCAAAGGAATTTCCCCCCTCCCATCCATCTCCTAGGGGATATTATCTCCAGAGAAAATAAGTAGGTGAAAAGTCAAACGTCCCTTTCCAGACGCCTCTGCTTCTCCTTCTTATGTCAGCACTAGAGTAAATGCAGCTTGAAGTGCTGACACCTGGTTTCTAAGCCAGCCCACCCAAACCACATCTGTACGATGATGATTTTGCCATGCATGTTGGTACTATTGTAATGCTCTCTACATGGGGCTCCCCTTGAAGAGCACTCGGAGGCTCCAACTGGTCCAGAATGCGGCCGCGCGGGTGGTTATGGGCGCAACTCGTTGTGCCCGCGTGACACCCCTCCTGCGCGAGCTGCACTGGCTCCCAGTGGTCTTCCGGGTGCGATTCAAGGTGTTGGTTACCACCTTTAAAGCGCTCCATGGCATAGGACCCGGGTACCTCCGAGACCGTCTTCTGCTACCAATAGCCTCCCACTGGCCAGTCCGCTCCCACAGAGAGGGTCTCCTCCGGGTGCCATCGGCCAAGTTATGTCGGCTGGCGACACCCAGGGGGAGGGCCTTCTCTGTGGGAGCCCCAACCCTGTGGAACGAACTGCCCCCGGAAATACGTAAGATCTCCGACCTCCGGGTGTTCCGCTGCGCTCTGAAGACCCTGTTGTTCCGCCAGGCAGGGCTATCAACATAATAATTTTAAATTGGGGTATTTTAAATTTTTGGGGTTTTAAATCGGCCAAATCTATTTAATTATTTTAATTTTTAATTATTGTTGTGTCTTGTGTTTTTAAATTGGCTGTACACCGCCCTGAGTCCTTCGGGAGAAGGGCGGTATAGAAATAAAATTATTATTATTATTATTATTATTACTTTCTTGAGAACGAGAGAGAGAAGTTATCCCATTGAAGCTGAGAAGTATCAGCTGAGCAATTTTGGCCTGACCTGAAGACTGTAGAAATCCACAATTCAGTCAGGCAAGGCTGGGAAAATATCTACAGACCCCTCACATCCTGGACATAAACTGTTTCGACTCCTACCCTCAAAACAACAATATAGGGCACTGCACACCAGAACAATTAGACACAAGGAGAGTTTTTTTTCCCCACATGCTATCATTCTGCTAAACAAATAATTCCCACAACAGTGTCAAACTATTACTAAGACTGTATTACTATTATTCTTCTCATCCTTCCTAGGATCTGTCACTTCCCAATTACGACTATGACCATGTTGCTTGTATCTTTACAATTTATATTTTTATTGTTTCCTAGTATGATTTGATTGCTTATTAGTATCCTATGACTACCACTAAGTGTTGTATCTTATGATTCTTGACAGATATATTTTTATTTTTTCTTTATGTACACTGAGAGCTTATGCACCAAAGACAAATTCCTTGTGTGCCCAATCACACTTGGCCAATAAAGAATAATTCTTTTTCTTCTTCCTCTTCTTCTTCTTGTTGTCTTCTTTTTCCTCCTCCTCTTCTTCTTTTCTTGTTCTTCCTCTTCCTCCTCTTCCTCCTCTTCCTCCTCTTCCTCCTCCTCCTCCTCCTCCTCCTCCTCCTCCTCCTCCTCCTCCTCCTCCTCCTCCTCCTCCTCCTCCTCCTCTTCTTCTTCTTCTTCTTCTTCTCCTCCTCTTCCTCCTCCTCCTCCTCCTCCTCCTCCTCCTCCTCCTCCTCCTCCTCCTTCTCCTTCTCCTTCTCCTTTTTCTTCTTCTCCTCCTCCTCCTCCTCCTCCTTCCATCATTCTCGGCTCCACCACATTCTCTGAGCTCCTCTTTGGATAACTTGCGGCTGGGAACAACACATTCTCTCAAAATCTAAAATAAACATAGCTTCACCTTCGATTTTGCAGTCAGTGTAGCTCTTTTCTATACCCCATGCTGGCTTCCTCGGACGTCAGTACGTTTCTTCACTTTTGTCCCTAACATATTTTTTCCAGCAGAAGGAAAATATAGGCAGTCCTCGGCCTAACGACCACATTTGAGCCCAAAATTTCAGTTGCTAAACAAAATTGTTAAGTGAGTTTTGCCCCCAATTTTTACGACCTTTCTGGCCCTCGTTGTTAAGTGAATCACTGCACTGGTGAAGTTAGGAAAACGGTTGTTAAGTGAATCTGGCTTCCCTATTGTGTTTGATTTTACTTTGCTTACTTTTATCCAAAGAAGAGAATATATCTAACTTTCTTCTTATTCTGAAATTGCTTCCGGATTTTGTGCTTGCCAATGAAAAAAATAATAATGAAACTTCGATTTTGTTTTTGTTAACTAGACAGGCTTATTGTTATAGAAATGGCTTGTATATACGGTTGTGTAAAAGCAAAAAGTTGTGGTTAGTCATTGTGTTATTTTCTACTGTGTTAAAGAGAGTTGGAAGTCGGTGCCTTTTTCTTTCCTTTTTTCCCTTTACACAATCTCTCTTTTATTTTCCCTCCCCCTTTTCTTAGTTTTCCACTGCTGTTTTTCCTTTTGCATTTTGTACTTTGATAAACGAATAAAAAATTCTAACAGTGTAAAAAAAAAAACAATTAAGAAAGATTTTGCTTAAGAAAGAGGTCACAAAAGGGGATCACGTGACCCCGGGACATTGTAAACCGTCATTAATATGAGTCAGCTGCCAAGCATCTGAACCCAAGGATGCTGCAATGATTAGGTGAAAACTGGTCCTTTTTTCAGTGCCATTGTAAGTAACAGTCAGTAAATGAAAGGTTGTATGTCGAGGACTACTTCGGAGACCTTGATCATATCCAAAAAGGAGGAAAAATCTTGGAATCCAACAGTTCGTTATGTAATTAATGCCTTATTAATCTCTCTCGATTTGTCTCATGTAGGTAAATCCTCACTACGAGAGCACGTTCGTCTTTGACAATGATTTCCCTGCATTGCAACCAGATGCTCCAGAACCTGGTAAGAGTTCCTTTCGCCTTTGCTAAGCCAAAGGTGTACTTTTCTTCATGAGTCAATTGGACTTCATTGTTTTTCTTTCAAGACGTTTTGCTCCTCGTCCAAGAAGCTTCTTCAGCTCTGACTGGATGGTGGGGAATGGAAGGATTGATACTCCTTGCAGACAGCTGGTCATTTGCATCCTTTTAGAGGGTCGGGGGCAGTTCATTCCAGAGGGCAGGTGCTTCCACAGAGAAGGCTCTCCCCCTGGGGGGTCACCAGTCGACATTGTTTGACCGATGGCACCCTGAGGAGTCCCTCTCTGTGAGAGCGTATTGGTCGGTGGGAGGCTATCAGTGGCAGAAGGCGGTCTCGTAAGTACCCAGGTCCTGAGCCATGGAGCGCTTTAAAGATGGTAACCAATATCTTGAATCGCATCCGGAAGACCACCGGGAGCCAGTGCAGCTCGTGAAGGAGAGGTGTTACATGGGTGTGCCATGTCGCTCCCATAACCACCCGCGCGGCCGCATTCTGGACCAGTTGGAGCCTCCGAGTGCTCTTCAAGGGGAGCCCCATGTAGAGAGCATTACAGTAGTCCAGACGGGAAGTGATGAGGGCATGAGTGACCGTGCGCAAGGAGTCCCGGTCTAGAAAGGAACGCAACTGGTGAATCAGGCGAACCTGATAAAAAGCCCCCCTGGCCACAGCCATTACATGATCTTCTAAAGACAGCCGTGCATCCAGGAGGACGCCCAAGTTGCCAGCCCTTTTTGAGGGGGCCAAAGACTCGCCCCCGATAGTCAGCGATGGAGCCAGCTGACTATACCGGGATGCCGGAAGCCACAGCCACTCAGTCTTGGAGGGGTTGAGTCTGAGCCTGTTTCTCCCCATCCAGATCCGTATGGCCTCCAGGCACCGGGACATCACGTCAAGGGCATCGTTGGGGTGGTCTGGGGTGGAGATGTACAGCTGAGTATCATCAGCGTACAGATGGAACTTCACCCCAAAACCACGGATGATCTCGCCCAGCGGAGTTCACATAAATGTTGAACAGGAGGGGCGAGAGGACCGACCCTTGCGGCACTCCCCAAGCGAGGCGCCTCGGGGTCGACCTCTGTCCCCCTGCCAACACAGACTGCGTGCGGTCAGAGAGGAAGGAGGGTCACTATAAATGAATGGCTGTTAGTTGAGAACTAACCGTAGCTTATTTATTTCTTCCATTGTCCGAAATGTATATCAGAGCAGCCAGTCTCTTTAAGTGGAGGTTTCCTTGGGAGACACTTAAGGCTGGGATTTAAGGCTAAGCACCTGCAAACATTTGCCATGTATTTATTTGTTTGTTTGTTTTCAAACAAACAAGCAAACAAATAAATATTGGCCCCCCATCTTATCTTACCAATGGGTAACTTACAGTCATAAAAGTGTATCTATACCTATATATATATTAGAACAGTGCTTCTCAACTTCTGTAGTTTTAATCGGCATGGCTGGGGAATTCTGGGAGTTGAAGTCCATCCCGCTTCAATTGCACAGGCTGAGAAACACCTCATTAAACATGAATAAATTAAAAACCAATCATTAAAATCTGAGGACACGCAGGGAGGGCTGGGGCAGAATGGGGGACGGGGTAGAGGTGGGATCTGTCGTTACTCGATCAATCCCCTCCTCTGCACCGTTCCCCCGATGGGGAGCCAACTAACCAGGTCTTTAAGGCCCTTATGAAAAGATAGGAAGGTTGAGACCAAACTCACATGGGGGCAGAGGGAGGGAAGATGTTCCAGGGGGCAGGAGCCACAGCAGAGAAGGCCCTTCTCCTGCACCCCGCCAGACGGAATAATCGGTTTGACGGGACCCGCATCCTGCAGTCAAGATTGAATCGCTTCTTCTGAGCTTCCGTCGCTCTTCAACTTGTCATTCAAGTGGGAGGAGGAAAGAGGGAAACGGAATGCTGAGAATGTGTGTGTGGACCGTGAGAGCCTGGAAACCATCAAGGTCACCACGGCAGGTGCTGGAGAAAGAGACGGACTGTTCCCATAACAAGAGGACGTCTCATAATCGGACAATCACCCAGGGGTGGGAGAAAGGGAATCTATCGTTTTCACTAAGCGAGCATTTGTGCAGGAAAAATCAGAGCTGGTTTTTCTTCTGAAGTTCCGAGATGGTATATCCAATAAAGTTATACTTTTGGGGAGTTCAAATATCCCGAGACCGTTTATTTCTTTTGCGTTCGTTAGTTGGACCGTGGATACCTGCCCTTTTTTCTCTTAATTATACCCTCCTTCTCTTTCGTACTGACGAATATTCTTCTCCTGCAGAGGCCGATGACCATCCCTTGTTTCGCTCAGCGTCAGCGCGAGGCGTGTGGTAAGTCTAGCCTGCTCCTTGTTGTCCTGAGCTAAGTCTCATTAAGCCCCGAGGGTGGGAGCGGAATTGCTTTCCACTGTTATTTCTTTTTTATTATGTTATAACATAAGCCACGGTGGCACATGGTTAGAGTGCAGTACTGCAGGCTCCTTCTGCTGCCTGCCGGCTGCCTGCAGTTGGCAGTTCAAATCTCACCAGTCTCGAGCTTGACTCAGCCTTCCATCCTTCCGAGGTGGGTAAAATGAGGACCCAGATTGTTGGGGGCAAGAGGCAGACTCTGCAAACCACTTAGAGAGGGCTGTGAAGCGGTATATAAATCTAAGTGCTAGTGCTAAGTTCTATCTGTCTGACCATCCATCTGTCCATCCGTCCATCCGTCCATCCGTCCATCCGGGGCTCCAAGTTGACTCAGCCTTCCAGCCTTCCTAGGTGGGAAAAATGAGGACCCAGTTTGTTGGGGGGGTGGGCAATAGGCTGACTATGTAAACTGCTTACTTAGGGCTGCAAGTGCTATTGTGAAAAATAGATAGATGATAGATAGACAGACAGACAGACAGACAGACAGATAAATAGAGAGAGGGGGGGGAGGGAGAGAGAGAGAGAGACAGACAGGCAGGCAGAGACAGACAGCTGATAGAGACAGAGAATAGATACTGTAGATATACATGATAGATATAGAAACAGATAGATATAAATAGATAAACAAATAGATGATAGATAGATAGATAGATAGATAGATAGATAGATAGATAGATAGATAGATAGATAGATAGGCAGGCAGGCAGGCAGGCAGGCAGGCAGGCAGACAGACAGACAGACAGACAGACAGACCCTCCTCCCTGCAAGCCCCACTCTCTTCTAGCACTGATGACATTATCTAGTTGGGTAATGAAACATCTGCAAGAAAAACCCCAAGCTCAGAGAGCACCAAGGACCCCACAGGAACCAAACTTCCTGGGGATGGATCGGTGGCCCTTTTCTACTTAACTTTCTCTCCTTTAGGATATGGGTCATCTACTTAGATGGAATTCAGGGATGGTACTTTCTATTGTGGCCTATACGGATCATCCCAGAAGCCTTCCTTCCTCTCTTCTCCCCAGCAAAGTCATGTGCTTCCATCCCTGGACTGACCTTACCCTGCCCCTGATGTCTCTTGCTGACATCCGCAGGGTGATTGACAAGTGGGCAGAGATAGCGGTCGAGTTGGGTGCCTCTTACACCTGGGTGCAGGTGAGTGTCTCTGCAAGGAATCGTGGCCCGCCTTTCCTCTGCCGGGCCCAGTTTAAATCCTGCATCAGTGTGGTCCAGTGTTTTTTCACTTGCTGGCTGGCTGGGGAATTCTGGGAGTCGAAGTCCGCAAGTCTTAAAAGTGGCCAAGGTTGGAAACCTCTGGTGTAAACAGAGCCTTGATAGTACAGTGGTTTAGTGCACCCTGTTATTAACACAGTTGCCTGCAATTTCTGCTGGTTCGAATCTCTCCAAGGCTCAAGGTCGACTCAGCCTTCCATCCTTTCTAAGGTAGGTGAAATGAGGACCCAGTTTGTGGGGGCAATAAGCTGACTTTGTATAAAATATACAAAAGTATGAAGGCTATTGCTTAACGCATTGTAAGCCGCCCTGAGTCTCCGGAGAAGGGCGGCATATAAATCAAATTAAAAAAAAACAAACAAACAAAAAAACAAAACACAATCCTGTTGTTTTTGTTTGTTGGCTTGTCTCCTTATCTCCTTGTTTATGTTGGTTTCAGATCTTTGAGAACAAGGGAGCCATGATGGGCTGTTCGAATTCCCACCCTCACTGTCAGGTAAGGTCAGAGGTTCTCTCCCTGAATTTAGCAGTGGAGCTGTCGCCCGAGGTCTGATGATCAGGAGATGTTTTTTGAAGGACATTTCTGGGCTCTTGAACAGGGGTCCCTGTCAGTGTAATTATGAGCTGGGATACAGCGAGGGGATTCAAATAATTCCACCATGTGCATGCGTGCGCACACGGCTTTTGTGCATGAATGCGCACATGGCTTCCTCGCACGCATGCAACTTCTGCGCGTGCACGGCTTCCGCCTCGAGGCGAGGCTCGACCAAGCAGCCTTTCAAGGCCTGCTCCCCTCCATCTCTGCTCTCCGGGGCAGCAGCTGCTTCTCTCCACACTTCTGGGAGTGTGTCTTTGTGCAATTTAGCAGCTGTGAGACACACCGCTTTCCTCTAAGTCCCATCCGGAACACGCTGCAGCTGAGAGAAACAATATTCAACATGGTTGCTGCTTCTCTCAGCCACAGCGCTTTCCGGATGGGACTTAGAGGAAAGCGGCGGCTCACAGCTGCTAAATTGCACAAGACACTCTCTCCCAGCAAGAGCAGCAGCGGAGAAAAGCAGCTGCCGACCCGGAGAGCGCATGGAGCGTCCCCACGAGCGACTGAGGATCGGCAAGGGATGGAAGAAGCGGCTACAAGATCTCCGCTGCAGCGCTTTCCAGGTGGGACTTCTTGCAGGTAAGAAGAACCCCCTGTTCCATAATCCAAACCGCTTTGGCCGTCCTGCCATCACCCCCCATGGCCCTTCAGCCTAGTGTGGCAGGCTGCAAGCCAAATAAATTGCTTCAGCCTGGGGGGGGGCTTTCTTTGAGGCCGGGGGTGGGGGAGGCGGCATGCAGGCAGAGGCCCAGGGCAAGGCCAGAGCGGGGGAATGGCACATTCTCCAACCCAGCCAAGGCGAACGGTGAGTGGGCGGAGGCTCCGGGCAAGGCCGGAACAGGGGAATGGTGCATCCCTGGGCCCCGACCCGAGGTGAAGGAGAAGCGGCGGCATGCTTACCTTTGGTGAGCAGAGTGGATGAGGCACAGAGGCGAGGCACGGAGATTGTCTGGGCTGCATGGCGAAGGCAAGATATATAGGGTGGGGTTGGGTGAGTGGTGCGAGCAGGCAGGTGGGGTGAGCGGGTGGGGTGAGCGGTGAGCTGGCGAGCAGGTGGGCAGGGTGGGGCCAGCCAGAGTTGGTATTTGCCGGTTCTCCAAACTACTCAAAATTTCCACTACCGGTTCGGGACTATATATATAAAGGATTTTATTGCTTTAGTGCTTCTGTGGTTGTATAGATTCTGTACTTCTGGATTCTAAGTTCTGACGCATGGGTATTGTATACATGCATCATGCTTTCTATTGTTGTATATAAACAAGTTTTTTCTATAGAGGAATCCTGCTGAATTATTTACTCATGTGCTGGTTGGATTGTTGCAAACTCTTAACAGTCCCCAACCCCTGGGTCAAAGCCCACTACCAAATCTTTCATTTTTTTAAAAAGAAACTTATCTGGACATTTGACAGTGGCGTTATTTTTTATTTTTTTAAAAAATGTCATTCAAGCCTCTCTGGTTTGCCGAAGTTTGAAGCTAAACTATCCAGAAGTGGAAGGACAGGGCATAAATTATTCTTGGGATTATTCAGAGGGTTTTGTTCAATTCCATATCTTTGCGGTTTTGATTGTGATGCTTCTCTGGGGGAGGCCTTTGATCAAGAGACTTCAAAGCAGATTCTTTTTTTTTCCCCTTCCTTTTTGAAGCCTGACAGGTGAGGTCAGTTGGGGAGGGTAGCGGGTGCTGAAATGAGAGGGTGGAAGCAAGGATTCTTTTCCGAGGGGTCTGCTCTTTTCAAAGGGGACTAGAATAGAATAGAATAACAGAGTTGGAAGGGACCTTGGAGGTCTTCTAGTCCAACCCCCTGCCATGGATAAGAATCCTCAAGGAGAAAACACGCTTGGGAAATTTTGAAAAGTAAGAATATAAAAGCCCAGTCTAGCACAACACCAATGAAGAAGAAACAGAATATCGATGTAAGGAAGTTTTCTCTTAGACAAATCGTTTTTTATTTACAGTTAGTCCTCCTCTTACGACCACAAACGAGCCCAACATTTCTGTCGTTAAGCAAGATGTTTATTAAAGGAATTTTACCCCATTTTTATTATCTTTCCTGCCACAGTTTGTTTGTTTGTATGTATGTATGTATGTATGTATGTATGTATGTATGTATGTATGTATGTATGTAATTTATATGCCGCCCTTCTCCCGAAGGACTCAGGGCGGCTTACAAAGAAACATTCAACAAATTCAAAAATTACATAAAAATTAAAATCCCAATTAAAAATTAATTAAAATTATTTCAGTGTAAAAATCCCCCAACGGATCAGCCCATTTGATGAAAGAGCCACGTCTTCAGTTCGCGGTGGAAGGAGAGGAGGTCGGGGGCTGTCCTAAGCCCGGTGGGCAACCCGTTCCAGAGGGTCGGTGCTCTGTTGTTGAGTGAACCACTACCGTGGTTAGATACACAGTTGTTAAGCAAGTCTGGCTTTCCCCATTGGTTTTGCTTGTTAGAAGGTCCCAAAAGGGGATCGTGTGACCCTGGGACACCGTCATAAATATGAGTCAGTTGCCAAGCATCTGAATTTTGATCACATGCCCACAAGGATGCTACAATGGTCATGAAGTGTGAAAAACTATCATAAGTCATTTTTTCGGTGCCGTTGTAACTTTAAACAGTCACTAAACGAAGACTTTGTATTTTATTTACCTACCACTGATGATGTTACCTGGCTGGGTAATTAAATGTCTGCAAGAAAACAAGCAAGCTCAGAGAGCATGGGGGGGCCTCGTTTATTTTATATATTGATTGATTTGTTAGATTTCTATGGCATCCCATCTTGGTCAATGCCTCTGGCGGGCTTATAGTTCAGAAATATATTACGGTATGAGTAAACAAAATTTAAAAAAACATTTCAGGACAATAAATACATTCAAACCAGTAAAAAACATGGAAACCAATAGCAAACCTAAAAGCAACTTTAAAAAAAACCAAAAACAGCAAAAAAAAAACAACAACCCCACCCTACCCTGGAATTGTAAATAGCATAGAGCCAGATAGATAAATATATAAAATTTGCTTGGAGTTGGTATCTCACTCTCTCTACTCTACTCTCTCTTCTCTTTTTTCTCTCTTTCTGTCTCTCTTTCTTTTTTTCTCTTTCTTTCTGTCTCTTTTTTCTTTCTCTACATATCTCACTTTCTCCACTCTCTTTCTGTCTCTTTTCTTTTACTTTCTCTCTCTTTTCTCTCTCTCTTTTGCTGTCTCTTTCTCTCTCTGTCTCTCTTTCTCTCTCTCTCTCTCTCACACACACACAGACACACACACCCCAATAGTAATCTTATAGGTCCATAAGTGCATGTGTGCTGAATTATTCCCTTCCATTAAAAAAAATAGGAATGGCTTGGGCTGCTCTTTAATCCCACGGTCATCTACATTTGTGGTGGGCTAAGTATTGATCGGAGCGGAGGGGCTGATCTGATCTGGGGGGGAGGGCAAAATTCACACACACACCCCCAAAATGGGAAGGCAGAGCATGGTTACAGATCCCATCCATGAGGGATTGTCACCTGGCGAGACCACGAAACGGCCTTCTCGGTGGTGCCCCTTTCTTTAGGCAACATCATCCCTCCGGGGGCCGCAGAGTTGGTCCCCACCCTGCTGCTTTTCCAAAAGGCCCCGAACGGAGCCGATCAAGTGGCTATTTTATTTATTTATTATTTATTGGTTCGATTTATATGCCGCCGTTTTCCGGAGACTCAGGGCGGCTTACAATGCATTAAGCAATAGCCTTCATACTTTTGTATATACCTGCTTATTAGGGCTTTCGGGCCCCCCCCCCCCCAGCGGTGTTCTTTCTTATACAAAGTCAGCTTATTGCCCCCAACAATCCGGGTCCTCATTTTACCTACCTCGGAAGGATGGAAGGCTGAGTCAACCTTGAGCCTGGTGAGATTCGAACTTGCAGTAATTGCAGGCAGCTGGTGTTACTTAACAGCGCTTTAGTCTGCTGCGCCACCAAGGCTCTTTTTGTTTGTGTTGCTGCTGCCATGGTGTGTGTCTGTGTGTTTATAGGTAACTAACTGTGTAGCTAGAACTGAAGAAGCTCCTCGGATGAGAAGCGAAATGTTTTCAAACAAAAAACCACCAAGAAAATCCAGTTGCCTTTTATTGGGGGAAAAAACCCTTTGGGATTTCTGGATTCAGTATTGACTATTGCAGACTGTGATTAGCCTGAGAGAACGCAATCTTAGGGAGACCAACAAGTGATCTTGCATGGGGGTGGGTGATGAGCGGGGAGTGGTCTCGGAGCCTAAATCTCCTTCCTTTCTGTGGCAATTTCAGTGGTCACACTTGTAATTACGCAGCCTGCAGACATTTGGACCGGATGGGACAATTTGCTGCGGTCAGCTCGCCACGAGACAACTGGTTGCAGGCCAATTCAATTTGATTTAAAACAATTTAAAACAATTATTTTATGTCTGCAACCTATAAAGGAAATGTGTACAAAATGTTCTATAGGTGGCACCTTCCACCGGCAAGGCTGGCCAAAATGTTCCCCAAAACCCCATCAACATGCTGGAAATGTAAACCACATCAGGGAACGTACTACCACATGTGGTGGACGTGCCCCAAAGCAAAACAATATTGGAGTAAAATTAGAATGCAATTAGAAGAGATAACCAGACAGCATATAGAGATGAAGCCAGAAATATTTTTAATTAGGAATACTCCCAGGGGCTTATGGAAAAAAAATGCAATATTTAATTATACATATTATTACAGCAGCAAGAATAATATATGAACAAAATTGGAAAAATAACAATATACCAACGGAAGACAATCTGATTAGAAAAGTTTTGGAGTGTGCAGAAATGGACAAACTTACAAAGGAAATACAAGAAAAGGAGGAAACAGAATATTATATAGTGTGGGAGAAATGGTATGAATGATTAGAGGAGAGGGATAAAAGGCAAGGAAAGAGCAAATGAGGAAGATATAGGAGTGCAAATGCAGCAACAAACGAGGAAACAAAACAGATGCAGATCGTAGGGACGAAATTGTGTAGACTGTTATCTATATGTATCTTTATGTAAATAAATCAATATTAGAATTATATGTATAAAGGATAAATAGAAATAAGGGAGAAAAAATGGATATGTAAGAAATTAAGAAAATTGTAAAAGATTCTTTTTTGTTTTCAAAAAAACCCAAAACTGTTTAATAAAAATTATTTAAAAAAACAAACAAAAAACCCCACACAATTATTTTAATTTTTGTCATTCACACTTCATCTCGTCCCTCCTTTGGCATCCTTCCTTTTAATGATTCCCTTCCACCGTTTCTTTGAGATTAGTGTAACTCTGGTCCTGTGGCGAGTTTGCAATGGTGACCTATCCTATTCTCCATGGCACGTCGTCCGTGGGAGGTTGGCTGGGGCGAGTTGTCGTAGACCCCGACTTGTAGGCCTTACGGAGAGCTTTGTGGTTGTGTTTCTTACAGAGCCACAGGGTGGCAGTGGGTACCTGCAAATGGGCGGCTCTAAGCTACAAGGCACAAGCACGAAGCTTTCTAGTCCAGGTTGTTGGGTGTGTTTGTGTCAGGGGTGAAATCCAGCAGGTTCTGACAGGTTCTGGAGAACCGGTAGCGGAAATTTTGAGCAGTTCGGAGAACTGGCAAATGCCACCTCTGGCTGGCCCCAGAGTGGGGAGGGAATGGGGATTTTGCAATATCCTTCCCCCAGGAGTGGGGAGGGAATGGGGATTTTGCAATATCCTTCCCCCAGGAGTGGGGTGGGAAATGGGGATTTTGCAATATCCTTCCCCCAGGAGTGGGGTGGGAATGGGGATTTTGGCAATATCCTTCCCCCAGGAGTGGAGTGGGAATGGAGATTTTGCAATATCCTTCCCCCAGAGTGGGGTGGGAATGGGGATTTTGCAATATCCTTCCCCCAGGAGTGGAGAGGGAATGGGGATTTTGGCAATATCCTTCCCTTGGAGTGGAGTGGGAATGGGGATTTTGCAATATCCTTCCCCCAGGAGTGGGGAGGAAATGGGGACTTGGCAATATCCTTCCCCCAGGAGTGGGGAGGGAATGGGGATTTTGCAATATCCTTCTCCCAGGAGTGGGGAGGGAATGGGGATTTTGCAATATCCTTCCCCCAGGAGTGGGGAGGGAATGGGGATTTTGCAATATCCTTCCCCCAGGAGTGGAGTGGGAATGGAGATTTTGCAATATCCTTCCCCCAGGAGTGAGGAGGGAATGGGGATTTTGCAGTATCCTTCCCCTGCCATGCCTACCAAGCCACGCCTGCCACTGGTTTGTATGGTTATAAATTGTAGAACATAGAATACCTAGGACTGGAAGGGACCTTGATACAACTGTGCATCAATCGTCCAGAATCGAGCTGGAAGGGGCCTTGGAGGTCTTCTAGTCCAACCCCCTGCTCAAGCAGGAGATCCTCTACCATTCCAGACAAGTGACTGTCCAGTCTCTTCTTGAAAGCCTCCAGTGATGGAGCACCCACAAGTTCTGAAGGCAACTTCTGTTCCAATGGTTGATTGTCCTCACTGTTAGGAAGTTTCTCCTTAATTCCAGGTTGCTTCTCTCCTTTATTAGTTTCCAACTGAAACTTCTTGTCCTCCCTTCAGGTGCTTTGGAGAATAGCTTGACCCCCTTCGCTTCTTTGTGGCAGCCCCTCAAATACTGGAAGACTGCTATCAGGTCCCCCCTGGTCCTTCTCTTCATTAGGCATACCTCGTTCTCCTCCTAAGTCTCTTTCCCTTCTTTACAGATCTGGGCTAGTAACTTCCTGCCCAGTGAAGCCTCGCTGGAGGACCAGTCTCAACGGAAGTACTACCAGGACAATTCTGTCCCCATGCTGCTGGACTACGCCCGGCTGGAGGCCGAGAGGAAGGTGGGGACCGCTGGCCCATTAGGGAAGAGGGAGCCGGTCTCCGCTTGGGGATGCCGGCTCTGAGGCTGATCTGGGGGGGTGCCTTGCAGGAACGGGTCGTGGTGGAAAATGCGGACTGGCTGGTGGTGGTGCCCTACTGGGCAGTGTGGCCCTTCCAGACACTCTTGCTTCCTCGGAGACACGTCTGCCGACTGGAGGAGCTCCGGGAGAGCGAGAGAGACAGTAAGTGTCCCGTTTATGGACGATGGAGAGAGGAGGTCCTTGGGTGGCCAGTGGGGGAAGTATCAGTGCTGCCTGAGGGAGGAGGAGGAGGAAGAGGAGAAGGAGGAAGAAGAGGTGGAGGAGAAGGAGGAAGAAGAGGAGGAGGAGGAAGAAGAGGAAGAGGAGGAGGAAGAGGAAGAGGAGGAGGAGGAAGAAGAGAAGGAAAAGGAAGAGGGAGGAGGAGAAGGAAAAGGAAGAGGGAGGAAGAGGAAGAGGAGAAGGAGGAAGAAGAGAGAAGGAAGAGGAAGAAGAGGAGGAAGAGGAGGAAAAGGAAGAGGAAGAAGAGGAGGAAGAGGAAGAGAAGGAAGAGGGAGGAGGAGGAGGAGAAGGAAGAAGAGAAGGAAGAGGAAGAAGAGAGGAGAAGGAAGAGGAAGAAGAGGGAGGAGGAGGAAGAAGAGAAGGAGGAGGAAGAGGAGGAGAAGGAAAAGGAAGAGGGAGGAGGAAGAGGAAGAAGGGGGAGAAAGGAGGAGGGGAGGAGGAAGAGGGGCAGCAGGAGGAGGAAGATAAGGAGGAAGAGGAGAAGGAGGAGATAATTGTGGGGTCCTTGGTGCTTTCTGAGCTTGGTGGTTTTCTTGCAGACGTTTCATTACCCAAATACGTAACATCATCAGTGCTAGAAGGGAATGCTATCTGTTTATAGTGGCTTGCCTTGCCAGTGTTGGTGGGAGTGTTGTTGGTAGTTCTCTGATTGGGGTTGCTTATTTCTGATAATGTTACCTAGTTGGGTCATGAAACGTCTGCAAGAAAATCACCCAGCTCAGAGAGCACCAAGGACCCCATAACCTTTAGTCTTCGTCCTCCTCCTCCTCTTCTCTGCAAACCCCGCTCCCTTCAGAGATGTGCAAATGGGGAGGTTTGGGGTGGGGGCTCCAGCCCAGCTGTTGGTGGGGTGTGTGGGATGGCTTGGGGGTTGCAGGAGACCAGCTGACCCCTTTGAGCCTCCTTTTTTTTGCAGGCCTGGCCTCCATCATGAAGAGGCTTCTCACCCGATACGACAACCTCTTCCAGGTTTCCTTCCCTTACTCCACGGGTTGGCATGGTGAGAATCCGGGAGAGGGCAAGCAGGCTTGGGCATGGGGGAGACAGGAAGCAGCTCTCTTGGGGAGATACCTTCCCAAGGTTGGAAGGCTCGCTCTTTCTTTCTTTCTTTCTTTCTTTCTTTCTTTCTTTCTTTCTTTCTTTCTTTCTTTCTTTCTTTCTTTCTTTCTTTCTTTCTTTCTTTCCTTCCTTCCTTCCTTCCTTCCTTCCTTCCTTCCTTCCTTCCTTCCTTCCTTCTTTCCTTCCCTCCTTCCTCCTTTCCTTTCCTTTCCTTTCCTTTCTTTCTTTTTTTTTAAAATACTTTATTGAATTTTTCCAAAATATAAAAATAGTATACAATCTCTATCTTGATCAGAGGTACAGTGTTTATACAATTTGGTGCATCATACGTTGGATAAGTTCATCTTTAGCTATACAATGTTCTACGCAATTAAGTCCAATTCAAGTGCATAACAAGTCATATCCTGTGATCATACTTTTATTTTGTTCTTCAACCAGTTGTACCAATTTCCCCATACTTCATAATATTTAGAATTCTCCTCATTTTTTAAGTCGCTCGTCAATTTTGCCATTTCTGCGCACTCTAGAGCCATTTCTGCGCACTCTAGATCCCCTTTCCTTTCATCTTCCGCCCTCTCCTTCCTTCCTTTTCTTTGTCTCTTTCTATCTTTTCTTCTTTCCTTCCTTCCTTCCTTTTTTCTTTTCTTTCTTTTCTTTCCTTCCTTCCTTCCTTCCTTTTTCCCTCCCTCCCTCTCTTCCATGGCTATTCGTCTCACTTCACAGCTCAAAGCAACTGTGGGTGGCTTACAACGTAATAGAACCTCCCGATATAAAAACCATTATCAATGAAAAACAGACTAAAGTTACAAAGGATGAAGAACAGACTAAAAGCCTGTTTGGGGGAGAACAGCGGTGGCACCTTCTCTGTTAACCTACCAACCACCTCCAGCCTACATCTTCGTTGGGGTCACATGCCGGCCAGCATAGCCAGATTTTAAGGCCCTGAAGGCCAAAAAGATGGGGATGGATCTCACCTCTGGTGGCAAGATGTTCCAGAGGGCAGAAGGAGCCACAGCAGAGAAGGCTCTTGTCCTGAACCCCACCAGCAGGAATTCCTTGGCAACCAGAGTTTATAGCAGGCAACGTTTGAGATTTTATTGAGCATATTGGCTCCTTAAAGGAGGGGTCTCCAACCTTGGCCGCTTTAAGACTTTCAGACTTCAACTCCCAGAATTCCTCAGCCAATCATGGTGCCCGGGGAATTCTGGGAGTTGAAGTCCACAGGTCGTAAAGGGGCCATAGCAGCTCACGAATGTTGGGCTCATGGATTCCCTTTTGACCCTGGCTGTCCCCTTCCTTTCTGCACCCCAGGGAGCAAATCCCGCTCTAGCTGGCACCCAACTCGCCTCCCTTGGGCTAAAATCTGATTTCCTGCTCTCTTTGCCGCCTCTTCCCCACAGGAGCTCCGACGGGACCGTACCTGGAGGCCGACTGCAGGCACTGGCAGCTCCACGCCCATTACTACCCTCCTCTGCTGCGTTCCGCCACCATCCGTAAGTTCATGGTGGGCTACGAGATGCTGGCTCAGGCCCAGAGGGACTTGACTCCAGAGCAGGTGAGGGGGAGCTAGGAGATGGGCTGTAACTGCTGGGAGGGGCTGTGGCCCACCTGCTTTTGAAAGAAGTTTAAAAGGAAGCAGAATACTTGTAGCTCAGGGTGGAAATGAGGGGCCCTGGGTGCTCTCTGAGCTTGGTTGGTTTCTTGTAGACGTTTTATGACCCAACTAGGTATCCTCATCAGTGCTAGAAGGGAGTGGGGATTATGAGGAGGAGGAGGAGGAGAGGGAGGGGGTGGGGGAAGAGGAGGAGGGGTGATGGTGGTGAGGACTGGGGTTCTTGGTGCTCTCTGAGCTTGGTTGGTTTTATTTATTATTTTTATTATTTTTATTTTTTTATTTATTTATATGCCGCCCTTCTCCGGAGACTCAGGGCGGCTTACAGTGCGCTAAGCAATAGCCTTCATACTTTTGGATATTTATACAAAGTCATCTTATTGCCCCCACAATCCGGGTCCTCATTTAACCTACCTTTGAAAGGATGGAAGGCTGAGTCAACCTTGAGCCTGGGGAGATTCGAACTTGCGGTAATTGCAGGCAGCTGGATGTTAAATACTACCTTTAACAGTAGCATTAGTCTGCTGTGCCACTCAGGCTCCTTGCCCGGTTTCTTGCAGATGTTTCATGACCCAACTAGGTAACCTCATCCGTGCTAGAAGGGAGTGGGGATTGTGGAGAGGGGGAGGAGGACTGTGGGTCCTTGGTGCTTTCTGAACTTGGGGGTTTTCTTGCAGACGTTTCATAACCCAACTAGGTAACATCATCAGGGTTAGTTGGGTAATGAAACATCTGCAGGAATACAACAAAGCTCAGAGGGAACCAAGGAGCTCTCAAGTTTAAAATTTCACCGATTAGTGGCTGACCTCATCGGTGGGAATGGGCAGGGAAAGGTTGAGGGTTGGAAGAGGGAAGGACCCTCCAGTTCTCTGGGGCTTTATGTGGCCTTTGGGCTGTGACTACCAGTCTTCACAGCTGGTGGCCAAACGCTGCTTTTGGGTTGTTAAAGTTGCTAAGCAAATGCAGAGTTCTAAGGCAGGGGTGGGCAACTATGGCCCTTTTATGACTTGTGGACTTCAACTCCCAGAATTCCTGAGCCAGCCATGTTAGCTCAGGAATTCTGGGAATTGAAGTCCACAAGTCATTAAAAGGGCCATAGTTGCCCACCTCTGTTCTAAGGGAAAGAGATAGGTCTTCAAACCTTTAAGACTTGGGGACTTCAACTCCCAGAATTCCTCAGCCTTAAGACTTGTGGACTTCAACTCCCAGAATACCTCAGTCCTTAAGACTTGCGGACACTCCCAGAATTCCTCAGCCTTAAGACTTGCGGACTTCAACTCCCAGAATCCCTCAGCCTTAAGACTTGCGGACTTCAACTCCCACAATTCCTCAGCCTTAAGACTTGCGGACTTCAACTCCCAGAATTCCTCAGCCTTAAGACTTGCGGACTTCAACTCCCAGAATCCCTCAGCCTTAAGACTTGCGGACTTCAACTCCCAGAATCCCCAGCCTTAAGACTTGCAGACTTAACTCCCAGAATCCCTCAGCCTTAAGACTTGCGGACTTCAACTCCCACAATTCCTCAGCCAGCCATGCTAGCTGAGGAATTCTGGGAGTTGAAGTCCCCAAGTCTTAAAGTTGCCAAGTTTGGAGACCCCCCTATAATAGACTGTGGAAATAATGAAGGAGCTAGGAAGGAAGGGAGAACTCCTTGAGTCTTGTTCCCTTTTTTGGGGGGGCAGCATTCAGCAAAAGACCCCCGGGACCTGGAAAGGAGGAAGGCCCCTGTGTTCACCTCTTTCCTTCTTCTCCCTCCACTCTGCTTTCTCCTCACAGGCCGCTGAACGTTTGAGGAACCTTCCTGAGCACCATTACAAGCTGGAGACCAAGGAGGCACCTTAGGGCAGACGGCGGCTTTATTGGCAGTCGCACAACCCCTAGCGGCTGACAAAGAGAGCCTGGAGAACGATCCCAGCTGGACAGTAAGGGGTCCGTCCTTGGGGGCGGCTGAGAACTTTCCTCAGGAATTGCCTGACCTCAGGCAGAATGCCAGTCCGGCTGCCCGGCTCCACTAAGGCTGTGATGCTGGTGACCAGTTAAGCCAGGACCTCTTCCCTTCTCAAAAGTCCTCTGCAGAACCGGAGGCTCCGTGTCCTGTGTGCACACAAGAGGCGAGACCCATCCTTGGAGAAGGGGGAAGTGGGGGACCCCTCTCCCCAACACCAAGTCTCTACCGCTTCTCGTGATGCACGGCTGCTCTGCCCAGGTTCTGAGAGCTGGCACTATTAAATCAGGATATTTTGGGCCGAGGCTAGGCTGTTTTCTTTTTCTGAACTCTCCTCAAACGATGCTAGAAAGAGCGCAGAGAAGAGCAACAAAAATGAACAGGGCTCTGGAGGCTAAAACATACAAAGAACGGTGGCAGGAATTGGGTAGGTTCAGTTTAATGAAAAGAAGGACTAGGGGAGACATGATAGCAGCCTTCCAATATCTGAGGAGCTGCCTGCCCCAAAGAAGAGGGGGCGGTGGGGGGGGGGGTGTCAGCCTATTCTCAAAAGGACCTGAAGGCAAGATGAGAAACAATGGATGGAAACGGAACAAAGTGACCATCAACCATAGGACGAAGGAGAAATTTCCTGACGATCAACCCGTGGAACAGAAGTTGCCTTCAGAAGTTGTGGGTGCTTCATCCCTGGAGGTTTTGAAGAAGGGATTGGGGCTGGACTAGAAGACCTCCAAGGTCCCTTCCAACTCTCTTATTCTGTTATTCTGTTAAATAAAAATAAAAAAAACCCCTTTTTCTTGAAAACTTTTTCTTTTCATCCCCCAACTCCAGTTGGCAAACTATTCCATTTCCGTCAGGAAATTCCTCTTGTAGGTTGGATCTCCCTCTGAGGACTTCCTGCCCATTGCTTCTTGTCCAGCCCTCAGGTGTTTTGGAGAGTAAATTCATGGCTTCCTTGTGGTAGCCCTTCAAGGATTGGAAGATGCTATCAGGCCTTCCCTTCTCCTTAGTTCCAACTTGCTTCTCTCCTTGGTTAGTTTCCACCCATTGCTTCTTGTCCTGCCTTCAGGTGCTTTGGAGAATAGCTTGACTCCCTCTTCTTTGGGGCAGCCCCTGAGATATTGGAAGACTGCTATCATGTCTCCCCTGGTCCTTCTTTTCATCAGACTAGACATACCCAGTTCCTGCAACCGTTCTTCATATGTTTCAGCCTCCTGTCCCCTAATCTTTATTGCTCTTCTCTGCACTCTTTCTACAGAGGGGTCGGCAACCTGCGGCTCTAGAGCTGCCTGTGGCTCTTTCATCCCTCTGCTGCGGCTCCCTGTCGCCAGTCAGCTCCACAATTGATAGGGCTTTCAGTTAGGATAGACAGAGGAAAAAGGACACTGCGCTAGGAGGAGAGACACTATGGTGGGGGGGAGCCAGACTTCCAGTTGGCTCCAGAATTGAACGGGGGGTTCTTGGTTAGGGCCTTTGTGGCTCTTTAAGGTTGCTGACCCCTGTTCTAGAGTCTCAATATCTTTCTTCTATCCTAGTGGGCAAAACTGGATGCCGAATTCCAAGTGTAGCCTTCCCAAGGCCTTATAAGGTGGCATTAACACTTCACGTGATCTTGATGCCATCTGAACTTCTATTAATTCAGCTCCCTGGGTGTGGTGGTAGAGGACCTGGAGCTCTTACCTCGTTTGCAAATGGGATTTGCGATGCTTCGTTGAACCTCCCCCAGTGATGGGAAGCGAGGGAACCGTCGCTGCGTGCCATCGTCTCATTTTCACCAACACACTTTTGGGAAGGCTGTTGCGTTTCCACCCAGCATCACACTTAATGCGAGAAGACTTGGCTGGTCATCCTCTTCCATGCCTCTCAGCTCAGCGCTCACTTGGGGACAGTTGAAGTCAATAATATATTTCATATTCGAAAAGGGAATCTAAATATGTATATTCTTTTTCCCCCCCTTCTCCTGGAGTAATAAATGCTGTGATTTTGTTTTGAAGGTGGGATGTTTTATTCATTTTGAGACTCGCGATAAAACGATCGGAAGGGGCCGGCTGGAGGGAAGGATGAAATGTTTCATTATTATTATTATTTTAAAAAAGGGTCTTTTTGGTTTTCAAAAAACAAAAAGGGTTGAGAAACCCCGTGGGATCCATCCGACTCAGCCAGCTTTCTCCGGGAGTCCTCAACCGCAATTGAGGCCAAAGTTGATGTCGTTAAGCGAGGCATTTGTTAAGTGAGTTTTGCACCACGTTTCTTGCCGTAGAAGCAAAGCAATTATCTGAATCATTGCACTGGTTCAGTTAGTTGCACGTTTGTTATGTGAATCCGGGTGCCCCGTTGGGTTCTTGTGTAAGAAGGGTCACAAAAGGGGATCACGTGACTCCAGGACATGGCGACCGTCATAAATATGAGTCAGTGGCCAAGCGTCCCAAATTTTGATCATGTGACCATGGGGACACTGCAACGATCGTAAGGGTGAAAAACGGACATAGGTCAACTTTTTTTCAGTGTTTCAGTCAACTTTGAACGGTCACTAAGCAATCTGTTGTAGGTTGAGGACTCCTTGTAGAGGGCCAGTTTTGCCCTAAGAGAGAACTCAGGGTTGTTGATCTATTTTATGTGCCTAAAAGGGAAAGGGAGTTACAGGCAGCTTGTGGAATTTGTCAGAATGGATGCAATCTTCTCCTTCTCCTCCTCCTCCTCCTCCTTTTTCTACTTCTCCTCCTCCTCCTTCTTCTATTTCTCCTCCTCCTCCTTCTTCTCTTTCTCCTCCTCCTCCTCCTCCTCCTCCTCCTTTTTCTACTTCTCTCTCCTCCTCCTCCTTCTCTATTTCTCCTCCTCCTCCTTCTTCTCTTCTCCTCCTCCTCCTCCTCCTCCTCCTCCTCCTCCTCCTCCTCCTCCTTCTCTTCTCTTCTTCCTCCTCCTTCTTCTTCTCCTTCTCCTCCTCCTCCTTCTCTTTCTTCTCCTCCTCCTCCTCCTCCTTCTACTTCTCCTCCTCCTTCTCCTCCTCCTCCTTCTTCTCTTTCTCCTCCTCCTCCTCCTACTTCTCCTTCTCCTCCTCCTCCTTCTTCTCTTTCTCCTCCTCCTCCTTCTTCTCCTTCTCCTCCTCCTCCTTCTCCTCTCCTCCTCCTCCTCTCTCCTTCTCTTTCTCCTCCTCCTCCTCTCCTCTCTCTTTTCTCCTCCTTCCTCCTCCTCCTCCTTCTTTACCTTCTTCTCCTCCTCCTCCTCCTCCACCTCCACCTCCTAGCATATTCCCGTAGGTACAGAGTCCACTTTTCGGATCATTGAATGCCAGTTTGTGTGGACAGCTGCGTCTCCGTGGCGCTGGCCCTGGCTTGCACATCTTTGTTATTGGGATCTTGCCATCTCTGTTTTGGACGCCCGCGAGGTCACCGGCCATTGACTTCTAGTTGGTAGGCAGTCTTGGCCACGGTGGAAGGTGCTGCTCTCGGGACATGTTCATACCATCGGAGTTGGCCATCTCTCATCTTCTCTGTAATTGCTGCCACACCAAAATGCGGTCAAATGGTGTCATTTGTGATGTGGTCAAGAAGGGAGGTGCGCGATATCCAACGGAGCCTTCGCATTTCCATGGCCTGCAGAGAGCTTCCGGTTCCTGTTGTTGCTGCCCAGCATTCAGTGCCAGACAGTGCAACAGGGCAGATGGTCATGTAACACTGGTGAGTTCTTGCCAAGGCATCCAGGCTGCCTGCTTGCTCCTCGCCATTGATGTTTTCCATTGCCTTGGAGATGGGATCCCAGTTAACAGAATGGATGCAATGCCAGAATCAAAATAACGAGGATTGTGGGTAAAATAAAAAGGCTAAAAATCAGAGGAGGGGAGAAAGGGGGGGGGGAGTGCCACTAACCCCACAATTTTAATTATATTTAATTTTAATTAAGTATTGTAATTATCTTTCTCTTCCCTTCCCTCCTTTAAATACTGTATATTGCTTTCTTTATAAACCTTCAATAAAAGATAGATACAGAAAGATGATAGACAATAGATACACATAGATGATATAAATGGTAGAAATAGATAGTACAGATAGATGATGATGATAGACAGACAGACAGACAGAATAATTTATTGTCATTTTCTGTGGGCACACTGGCACACATTACAAATGAAATTCTATTACCTGCTCTCAAAAGTGTACACATACACACAGAGAGAGAAGATACATGATAAATGGATGGATGGATGGATGGATGGATGGATGGATGGATGGATGGATGAATAGCTGCATGGTAAATGGATCAATTGATCAGTAGATGCATAGAGATTAGAGAATAGATATGGAGATTAGAGAGAGAGAGAGAGAGAGAGAGAGAGAGAGAGATGATAGATAGGAGATATAGATAGATAGATAGAAGATAGATGATAGATAGATAGATAGATAGATAGATAGATAGATAGATAGGAGATATAGATAGATGATAGATAGATGATATAGATAGATGATAGATGATAGAGATAGATGATAGATGGGAGATATAGATAGATGATTGATAGATGATAGATATAGATAGATGATATAGATAGATTAGAGATAGATGATAGAGATAGATGATAGATAGATAGATAGATAGATAGATAGATAGATAGATAGATGATAGATAGATAGATATAGATAGATATAGATAGATGATCGATAGATGAGGGAGGGAGGGTGGGTGGGAGAGAGAAGATACATGATAAATGGATGGATGAATAAATAGATATATGATGGGTGGACGGATGGATAGCTGCATGGTAAATTGATAATTTTTTTTTTAAAAAAATGATTTATATGCCACCCTTCTCCGGAGACTCAGGGTGGCTTACAGTGCATTAAGCAATAGCCTTCATCCTTTTGTATATTTTATACAAAGTCAGCTTATTGCCCCCACAAACTGGGTCCTCACTGATTAGTAGATGCATAGAGATTAGAGATTAGATATGGAGATTAGATGATAGATAGATGAGGGAGGGAGGGAGAGAGGGAGAGAGGGAAAGGGAAAGGACAGAGAGAGAGAGAGAGAGAGAGAGAGAGATTTGGCTTCTGGGCCAGGACTGGGATGCCCCAGAACTGTCATATTGTGCCTGGGCAGGAACCCAAATGCAGCTGAATTTCATCCTACCTGACCAACCAAAACACTTGCTGTCCCTTCCTTCAAAGCAACTCAGCTGGAAAGCCGGAATGTGATGTGGGAGTGGACAGAGGACAGGTGCAGAAAGCCAGAAGAACAAAAGGAAAGGAAAGGAAGATAAACTACTAGGATGTTTAAAAACAGCTGGGCACCGACTGCCCTTCTGAGTCCAGAGTTCAGCCCTCAGGTGTGGTTCCTTCTGTTGAAAGAGACTTTCGCTCCCTCTGTTCATTAAAGCTCTTGTGAATTTGATTTTTTTCATAATCGGCTTGTCATCTCCACAAATGGAGGTGGAATATTTCACAGGCATGCTTCCCCCCCCCCCACATCACTTCCCATCAGGAAAAGAATTGAAAAAGAGAGAACATACAAAGTCTTCATCGTCAACAGGTGTGTGAAAGGATGCTGCTTTAGGATACATAACGCCAGACACAAAGCGAGCAACGTGGTATATCCAGTACAATGCAGTGGGACGTGTGCAGATCTGTACATTGGAGAAACAAAACAGCCACTTCACAAGCACATGGCGCAACACAGGAGAACAAATAAAGGAGAATATTTGTAGCTCAGGGTTGACATGAGGGATCTTTGGTGCTCTCTGAGCTGGGTGCTTCCTTGCACTGATGTTACCTATTTTGGGTAATGAAATGTCTGCAGATAAATTACCAAGCTCAGAGAGAACTTCCTTCTCCTCCCTGCAAACCCCCTCGCCTTCTAGCATTGATGGTGTTACCTAGTCGGGTAATGAAATGTCTGCAAGCAAACAAGAAAGCTCAGAGAGCACCAAGGACCCTTCTGTTATGGCTCCGTTACCTGAGCCTGTGTCATCGGCAGGAGAGGACTCCGAGAGTGAAGGAGAGGAGTTGGCAAGGCCTCCCTCTCCAGGACCCTCCTCTCTGGCAATGCCTTCGGTGTCCACCGAAGGTCAAGAGATAGGGCCGGGGCCAAGCACGTCCGCGCAGCCACAGATGGATAGTGATGAGGGAAATGAGTCTTGGCTGGATCCTCAGCAGCGTCGCAGAGATAAGTGCGCGCAACAGAGATTAGTGCATGCCAGAGATTAAGCTGAGTCACTGGACCACACCCCACAGGGTATAAAAGGGGGTGAGGTGGCCATTCAGACTCTGTGATGGACAAAACTAACTACTATCAAGTCACATTGCATCTTTGGAAACAACATTATCGGCCTTGGATTTATTTTACGAACTGGACAATTCTTGACTGTGTGTATTTTGTTCATGAGTAAAGTTCTTGGCAAGCAGCTACTGGGTTACTGCCAAGCTTCTTATCGGAAGAATTGGTTGTCTGCCAGTTTATTTAACCCCCGGCTGTCTGTTTGCGTGCGTGTGTGAGACGGGGACAGAACACCTTCATAGGAGAACCAACCGATCTGGACAACATTCAGCAATCCATCTACATTTCAGAGACAAAAATCACTCTTTTGAAGACAGTAAAGACCACATTCTGGACTCAGAGGACCGCTGGTTTGACAGAGGAGCCGAAGTGGTCATCTACGTCAAAATTGAACAGCCCTCTCTCAACAGAGGGGCGGGATAGGACACCACCCATCTCCTGTTTACAACACGGTCCTTTCAGCAGTTCCAAGAAAATTCCACACCCATTTGCACTCTGATTCAGGTGACCCTGAGGGCCCAGATAGACCTCCAAGTGGCCTCAATGAATAGAATAGAATAGAATAGAATAGAATAGACTAGAATAGAATAGACTAGACTAGACTAGACTAGACTAGACTAGACTAGACTAGACTAGAATAGAATAGAATAGAATAGAATAGAATAGAATAGAATAGAATAAAGGAGAGGAGAGGAGAATAGAATAGAATAGAATAGATGGAATGGAATT